GGTGTGATGAAAATTATGGAAGATGATAATTTAAATAAAAGTATTCTAATGCAATCTAGAAAAGAAAGGAACAATGAAACAGAAAAGAAAAGTGTTATGACTGAAATTAACACGATTGTAAACTTTATACTTCATAAATCGCAAACTTAAATCTCAACACCAATCTATTTGTTGTTTAAAGAAAACACGAACAGACGTGGAAATAAGCCTAACCGCGGCCATATTGTATTCAAAGCGAAATTTATACAGTAATTTCTCCCGTAAACCATCAAGAGCAATAAGTATAAATCTTTAACATTACCATAAACGCTGTTACTATTATGTTTAGATACCCACCACGAGTTTATTTATAAACGCATCCTTCTTAAATATTGCACCTTTAAATTATGGCTTGCAATTTGAAATTGTCTCGCGGCACGGCGCGGGCGCATGGGCCATACGAGGTTGCGCCGGAGTCGAGTTCTCGCTAAAATGTTATTTAATGTGTCGACAAGTGCTAGTGTAAATTGTATTGAAATTCATGAGTAGGCTGTGTGATCGGTGGTTATGAAAACGGAACTGATATGGATGGATGTTGACCTGTGCATGTTGTGCCTTGAAGAAAGTTGCGCATTGTCTGGTTAAAACTTGTTTCGTTGACGTACCGGTACCTGACTTTCGATGTAGATAAGATAGTTTTTACTTGATTGAGAAGTAGTGTAGATAGCGCACGATGTTCAAAGCATTTACTTTTTGCAATTCACTGTGCATTTTTATCTTTCCCTTTCTATAATGGAACGCTTTGACCGATTTCATTTTCGACTGATGAGTCTTTACCTTTTTAATTGCTGCGTCGATGCTTCTTTTTTCCATTTTTGAAATTATCTGTAGGACCAAAGAGTTTCTATTAAATCTTGATGTTGTTTCTTCTGCCTCTTTGGGAGCAAACAGTCTAGCAGCCGTTATGAGTTTTATAAGCAATACACATTCGTAAAATCTATCTGCGCACACAATAGTCTATCAGAGTGGACATGCCAATACGTCCGAATCGAATGTTTCCAATGTAAAGGCCGAGGCAACTTGCAACATTTGTAGAGAATCGGTTTATATTATCCGATACATCAATATCTTATGATTTTTGCATAAGTACAAAGTTTAGTATTGTATTGATAATGCAATTGTTTCCTCAAGTAAGGAATGGGGCAGGTGGTCCGATAACTTCGATTTATTTTAAGTTTGACGATAAAAGAACAATTAACGAAAAAAGCATAATCATGGAGTTAATTGTCCAAAGTAAGATTCAGAGATTAGAGAAAACATTTCGTTTGTATCAATTATTGTTCTTAGATAGAAATCAGAAAATGTAATCTAGATTCAAATAAATTAGTGTTGTTACCAACTTGAAAAATTATAGATTAAAACATCGATTTCATCGGCTTTACGGCATAATAATGCATGTTCAAGATTGATTTAAAATCACCTTGAGCTAAAGGCCATGTCGATAAAATATGTATGGGACTACGATTGTTGGCGACATCGAGCGAACGTCAGTGATTGGTGCTTATTGTATTGCTATTGTATATAAGCGAAGCGATCGTAAATGTTTAGCAACATCTAATGTGTGCGATCGATTTGTTTGCCACACATGGATATAATTTTATCGATATCGATAAAAGTTGGTTTACTGTTTTGAAAGCTTTATAATTTGTCAAGTCCTTTGTAATGTCAACTTAGGGGGCTAAACTAAATTAATTCTATCGACTATGACTTTGTGGTGGTGAAGTACCGACTGACTCGAGTTTGATCATAATAATATCTTATTATTCAGATACTGGTTCCCTATTTTCAATATTTATTCATCGATGTTGTCACTCAACATACAAAATATCGATATTGATCTATTCAGAATAATGTCGGCCTCGACTGCACTATTTATGATCTTCATTGTAATCGTAATTGTATTGTTTCGCAACTATAAAATGGCATGTTTTATGTTATTTATAACTTTGTCCCATTTTATTTATAAATTACAACATTTAATAAACATGTCGATTGTAATAAATTTTAAAGCAAACTGTGTAACCAGGAAACGTGTTATTTGCGTATGAATAAACACTATAATAAACACGTTATGGCATTTTTGTGTGAACTTTTGGAACCGACTTATCACATAATACAACACCTAAAATATTATGAAAAAAAAAAAATCCTTTTTTAGACCACCGTGTCTACACGGTACAATGATGATGTTTTCAAAATATTTATTTATTTATTCAAGCGGAAGGGGAGACTCGTTAATTGGCACATCACAATAGAGATTACGGAGATTAGCCGGTTAGTTTTGTGATTCTAATATGGCCGCGGTGGGCGACGCTATCCCGGGCCCTGTTATGATAATATTCCCGTGATTTCATACAATAATTTGTGCGGGAATTGTTCGAGTGGACGTTGTAATACTCTTATAACACTGTCAACGTCTGTTTTGCGATAATTGGAATGCATAATGTAGTATCTGACCCTATGAGAGTTACTACTTGAACATTTTTTGACCCCAGGTGATGCATCTTACGAACCATTGTAAATATTTTATTCTTTGATGTTTTAGTATTCGTTGTAGTATTAATAAAACTAGGTAAGATGGCCATAATCGATTTAGTATTCCGTGTCTAAAACTGTAAATGTATTTATGTATCGTTAGACACGTGTTACCCAGGTGTTGTTACATTAGTCGTGTCGGTGTCAATAGACGATCATAAGCGTTTGCGCGAGCGAGGGCTTGACTCTTAATAGCGGCAACAGGCGATCGGCTCTCGCATCAATCTTCTCGATCGTCACTGTCGACTCGGACTCGCCCCCCGCGATTAATCACCAGCCAGAACGTTTTCGATTAGCGCCGGATAGCACACACGGAATAAAAAAGCACGTTCCATTTATGAACGTTCAACTTACACCATTTGTTTTAGCGTTTGGTCCCGGTCAGATGTGTCTTCTCTCGAAGGGTTAATAGCAATACGCAATGGTATTTTTTGCAAGAATAGTGTGACTATCTTTAATGAGAATGTACAAAGGTGTTAGACGGAAACAGGAAGTGTCAAATGGCGTTTCGTTGTCTCTCCACGGCCCAGTTCTTCGTAGCGCTAAGTGCGTCGATGTAATTGCCCGGGCAATGCAAATAGCTCGGTGTTTGATCGCGTGTACCGCCGGCGCCGACATGTATTCGAGCTATGGGACACTTTTGCCCGCTCTTCAATGTAAACCGGACGAGTTGCGCGTGATTGTTTAACGGGTTTCCCATTGTTTGTCTGTGATGTCAGGATCACGCTTTCGCGTTTGTCATATGGCGTTATTACGTTGATAATTGGTCAATACACGAGATTAGAATCGGATATTCCGTGTAACGTGGCGCGATAAAATTGAATGTACAAATAAATGGGACTATGTCAATGACTCGTATCAAAAAACCAAATCATGAAGAAAATCTGAATAATGTTCATATCTCCGCATTATAAAACAAAATGAGACCGTCCAATGAGCAACACAGGTTAATATAAATACACAGTTATCAAAACAAATGCAGTAGGTATATTTATAATTACGTCTACATCTGACCAATCAAGCGCGTCGCATTATCTGCGGTAGTTTGTGATACGACCGCATTATCAGCGTTTAAATTACAGAATGCATTTAAATGGCGGATATCGGGGTAATTATATGGGAGACACGCCTTCTGCCTTATCTGGGACCGCTGGGTTCCTGTATGATTAAATAAAAAACATGATTGCGAATGTCAAACGATATAGTGACTGAGTAATCTTCTCGTTCATATTCATTGAGGGACTTGAAAGTTTTGCTCGGCCATACAACTGTCTATTGATATGCACTTCTACAAGTGTCTGTGCTTATAGCAATAGATATTAATTAAGCAGTTGGCATCGATAATTTCTCATGCAAAATATACCAATATTTATTTGTCTCGTATTATTTATATAGTTTCTCGAACAAAACAGTTTAATTAAATGTTAGTGTTATATTAGAATGGATGCTGTATAATTTTTTATCTATAATTGGTTTACGGAGCTTTGTATGAAAAATTGCTAGAAGTTTTCTTCTTGTGGATATATTGTACAAGTTTTTCACGAAGCACAGACCAAATTGCAGCTGAAATTTTGACAAATATTTGGTTCCTTGAGTGATACATACAAGAAAGAGAGTCCGAGACTTTCCCAAACCTGACAGACACGAAAACAAACGCCATTTTTATAACCAAAGTTGCGTAAAATGTTCCTTCAAAAGTTGTCAACAGATTTTCTTTATAAATGGAATTACAGAAACGGACTTTAATTACTTCAATTTAATAGTCAGTTGAACACGCATTATAAGTATGAGAATCGGGCAAAGTGTAATGCAGTTCCTATGTTTTGTATAAAGGTATATCTAAGTATGCGGGCGCACGTGGTCTCCTCGCATCGATGAACTAGCTTCCTATTAAGAATATTAATAACTTCATTATTACTATTTTATGGCAAAACGTTGTATTTTTTTCCTACACTTTAAGTTAAACCCGCGTGTGTTTGTTATAAATTAAAAGAGTTCTATTCTCTACTAGTTTCTGCCCGCAATAGCAGTCTATGTGCTTTCTCACACTATAATCTATATCTATGCCAAATTTTATTGAGATCCGTTCAGTAGTTTTGGTGATAGAGTAACAATTATCCGCCCATACTTATAAACTAATACGATCAACATTTGTGAGAGGACAGTCAAATTGATATATGGTATTCGACCTCCTTAAGTTTTCATTGTTACCACGTGTTAATTTATTTAAAGTTGAAACCAATTTTTAAAGAGACTCTTATATCAATAACATTTAGTATAAGAACTATCCTAGATAAAATATATTTTTTTTTATTCTTCTGCCACTTTTAACTACTGAACATTTACCCAAAACACCAAGACAACTTCATCAGTCACCATGTTTATTTAAAAGAAAATGTCTAATGATATTTTTTCTTTATTTACAGTTATATGAGATCAGCGATGATCCACAGAGGAAGGAATTCCTGGATGACCTCTTCTCCTTCATGCAGAAGCGGGGTAAGTGCACTTCCGACATCATTCATATTTTAAGCTGCGGCCTGAAATGTAGCGTGAGCGATATTAAACGTATATATGAGGTTATAGGAAAAATTAAATCAAAAGAGTGTTTGATACATTTACGAATTAAAATTTAAGGAACAGATGTGAGACTTCAGTTCATAAAGTAACACACGAACATAAACCACATTCTCCTTTTGAATATCCAATAAAAGCGATTTTTTCTTAAGAATTCTACTTTTCTTCGTATCACTACATAGTACAAAACAAAGTCGCTTTCTCTATCCCTATATCTATATGCGCTTAAATCTTTAAAACTACGCAACGGATTTTGATGCGGTTTTTTAATAGATAATAGTGATTGAAGAGGATGGTTTATATGTATAATAGTATCCATTAAATAGTGGAGAAATTTAATATTACCATTGTTTTCGTGCAAAGCCGAGACGGGTCACTAGTGGAAGAATATAAAGACTGGATCCCGACATCTCCTATGACTTAGACCGAACACATATTTTGATTAATCCTTTGTAACGATTGATATTCATTGTAATTTATCACAACTCTAAATGCCTTATTCACGATCATTGATACAAATACAACAGCATAGTAAGATATTTCTTTCCGAACAATTAATTCTGAAACAGGGGTCAAGCTATTATGGTTTTTAGATACAAATCAGATATCAGTCATTGGTCGTAAAACGGTTTTATTGTGGAGATCAGCGATGGGTGGATAAGATCATGGGTGATGGACGACTAACTGATCGTGGAACTATGAGATATTGATGGAGGTTAGTAACAAGATTATATGAACGATTTCAATTTAGGAGAAGAAGAAATTTTAATTAGTGTCTGATTTGACTGTGTTTTAGTTAAACTCGATTTAGAAGGAAAACTTAAGAATGCACATAGGTAGTAAAAGTTTTGAACCTTGATAAATATTGAAAAAAAAACCAACATCATCCCAATATTATTATCTTGACTTAATTACTTAAAACTGAACAGTTATATTGACAAACATTTTCTTAAGTGATGTAAAAAGCCAAACATCTTAAATTTTCGTTTTTGTTTTCTTTTGATAAAATAAGAAGAACTGATTTATAAATGTGACAGCTACTAGAAAAACTAGGTGACTGGGATTACGGCATCTATGCCAAAAGCAATAAAAAGCAAGATCCTCCGCGTCCGTAAATTGAAAATACAATCCATATTCATTTACATATACATCACACCAGTGAAATGTATCTAGACTAAAATAAGGTTATTATAATCCATATTGCTCTTATTTATTCATTAAAAAAGCTGTGGGAATTCGCCAAACTATACTTATACCAAGATAGTCATTATATTTAAAATATCATAATAGAAATAATTAAGCGGGAGATCGCCCGATCGCTTGAGGCGTCGAGATCGTGCGCGGGCGCGTGATTGATAACTCGACACCTGTCTCTTTCTACCGCACGCGTTTCTCTATCTCCATCTTTCTCTAGCATTAATTGATCTTTGTTGTAAATGGCGCCGATTGTCGCTAGATAGATCATGTTGATATCTGACCGCCCAGTTGTTAGTGAAATCAATGGTTTATTGTTGCAATTGCAGCTTTAAGTTTTCCTTGTATAGGATTCGTTATTAATTGTATGTGTTTTGAGGTGATTAACAATAGTAATTGGGTGTCTTATTGTTTCACTTGATTTCCTTGGCTATTGTGATTAGAATTACGATTGCTAGTTGGTTTGGATTATTTATTTTGGATGTTATCTCTTTTATTCACATTTTAGTCTATTGGTACCTGAATTTATTTGAAACGTATAATTAATCAGATTCCACCCGGGATACGCACGCGTAGAAAAGTTATGTATCCCGGGATTTTTAAAGCTCGACTAAAATTCACAATCCAAGTATAACGCAAAATAGTAGTAGTGTCCGTGAGAGAAGAAAGAATTTTGGAAATCCGACTAGCGGTTTCAAAGATTACCCGATTACATACAAACATACAACAACCACAAAACCCTTTATAATGTTGGTGTAGATAATACTTATGCTGCTTACGTGCATCTTTTGCAGCTATTTACAAAATCGAATTGACGAATAAAACAAAGATAATAATGAAGCAGATGCAAATGTCAGCTGTACCTACCTAATTATTTGGTTGTTGAACAAGTTTCATAAATATTATTATCATATAATATTTTAATGTAGTATTCTTCGAATTGTAATTGTTGTATAATTAATATTGGTTTTAAACGCTTTAAACTTTATTTGTCTTGGATACCTTAAATATATTATAGTTAACACAAAAATAAAATAGGCTATGAAAAACATTACCTATTATGATCATAAGCGTCATGAAATGAAAGTTAAAGAACTGAGTTTTTCTCAAAGGTTTGACTAAAAACGCTTATTGATAACAATAGGGTTGGTGTCCATATATAAAAACGAGATAGCTTCATCAGGGGTTTCGTCGGGGGCGGGAACATTCCCTCTATAGTTTGTTAGCCCCTGTGTGTAATTGAAACGAAGTGCTGACTGCACCTTACACCGATACGTCTTCGAACTAACTTAAAAACATATTACACTTGACATTTTCACAAGCCTCTCACAATTGATATACTATGAGATAGTTAAAGTTATTTTTTTTCTAGGTTCTCTTGTTTTGATCTTAGTAACATTCGCTACAAATGTGCTACGGTCCAACAGACACACACATATCCTATAATATTAATATATTATTTTTATTAGTTCTTATACATTTTCTATGCAAGTGTAAAGTTTTAGTGCCAATTGAAGGATGTATATTACAGGAAAACTGTTAAACAAATTGTGGCGTAAGCTTGCATACTGCTTCTGCGTTGCGCGTAGAGCTACGAATCGGTCGGATTATTTATTTTTATTCGAAGCATTGAATGCGGAATTAATGTAAAGTTTTATGTTACGCGTCGGTGTAACAGGTAGCGGGCTCACACGTTGAGAGTATCACTGCGTGCGATCAGAGAGCGCCCTTATCTTGTTCAGAATAAATTATTATTCAATTTATCATTCCGGTGAACCGGCCAATAAACTTCTGGTTATTATTACGCGCGCAGATATCGCAGGAAACTAATCGCATAAGACTGATTACGATTTGTTGGCTAGACTAGTTGGAATCAGTGTTAATACTTTAATCAAATATATTCATACAATAAATATTTTATTCAAACGCTGCAAATGGTTCCGCCGGAGGAAACAACGTTTAATGATTAGAATTAATTTATTCGACGTGGGTTAGCATGTGTGAGCCATCAAACGGACTGATCTCCTCGTATTAATAATGTTTTATCATTTATTATTGCTTGTGAGTAATGAAAGTTAGTCGGCCACGCCCCGCGCCTTCTCCGCACTCTGTCTTAGTCTCGGTTTCAAAAAAATAAATTATTATTTTATTTTTTATTTTATCGAGTCGTCGACTAATGTTTGATGAGAGCGACATACGATTAGTTCAAATAAATGTATATCAACAATTTTATAGTAACACACGTGACGAACGGAGTGTTCCAATTTGTTAATCGATTACTTTTTATCGATTGCAATTCGATGAACGTTTTTGATTGAAGGAAAATTACTCGATAATTTGACAGCGATTGATGTTTAATTTGTTATCGATGATTTAAAATGTAATTCGATTCGGTTAATTCGTTCTTATTTAGCTTACAATGCAATGAACATAGAATTGTAACAAGCCTGTCAATATATGAATTAGTATGTTTTTTCTTTAGGTACAGGGTGTGTAAAAAATCGTGATTAATTTAGTATCTTGTTCTATTTGTCTATTTTATCAACTAATTATGATAGAAGATATGGTTGGTGTGTTGGATGTTGTGACCACGTGACCGGCTCGTTAGCACCTGATTGATCGGCTGACGGCCGCTCCTTGCCGATACACTTACCTACAGGATGATCTTAAAACAGATTAACTTTTTTTTGAAGATTTTAGTATAATAAATCCAACGCAATTAAAAATAGCCATTCCACTTAATATCTACGTCAGTCAGGTAAATCGATATCAAAAGTGTTAGGTAAAACAATTAATGTTAAAAAATGTTACTTTAAAATAATCATTATAAGTACTTAGGTATATTTTTCATATCAAACCTGTCATATTTAATCTTACAAGATTTATATATTAGATTAAAGAGTTTTACATAGTATCTGACATTTAACATATAAAAGGCGTGTTATCGCGATTAAGATTTATTGATATAACACTAATTGCTTTATAAAAAAAAAACATTAATATGTTTCCTGTTACAATAATATCAGAAAACATATTAACTAACATACTTAGGGCTGATTTTTCATTAGTCAGATAAATGTTATCTGAGAAATAAAATTGTTGCTGTCACTGTCTTATACAAACATTCTGACGCGACAGCATCATAATTAATCCCTAGGTAGTTTTAATTTAACCATTAAAAATCTGCACTAAATTGTCTAAGTATAAGGCGAATTGCACAATGTAATTTAAATACTAAAAATGTAATCTCGTTTAACGATCACCATGTAAAACCGGGCTATTGTTTCACTTGGTAATAGCGAGTGTGGTATAACTAATAACATCTCATTCGGAATCATTTCCCGTGATTAATTATCTGTTTAATCGATATAAGATGTTGTGCCAACAGCCTTCTCCGGTTTCTATATTTAGGATACCCTTCGATTCTCAACCATAACGTACGAAGATAGGGTGTTTTTCAGCTTGGTTCGGTCAAGATTATAGATTACGTTAAAGAGTTGATCTATCAAATTTTTTTCGTTTCATTGAAGATAGCTTTTGTTGGAGGTTTAATTGGTGTCTTAAACATGCAAGCGGTTAATTCGATTTCAAGTTCGGGCTTAGCTCATTTGTTTTTGTCCGTTTAAGTCTGAGTTTAGACGAATGTTAATCTTAAGTTGATTGATTAGAGGCGACTTCGATACGTCTATGGGCGTGACTCTTATTACCTTTTGGAAGTGGTTTGTGGA